TGGGTTCAAATTGCTGAGCTTGCAGTTAATAACCTACTAGGTAACCACTATTCATTGACTGTGTCATCCAATGGTATAGAATCTAAAACATTGTTGAAAAAAGGAAAGCATATGAGTATAGGCCAGGTATGAACTGCAATACATGAATTGTTGATTTGTACAGATTAAACTCCAGTGACAGGAAACTGTTTATACTAACAATAAGGGTTGGTGATAGGAGGAAAATTTCAATAATATTCATTCACAATATCATAGCCCTGCCTACCAGATTATGTCATAATGAAGCAAGGAGGGCATGAAAATAGAAAGTCTATAGTAGTTATGGAACATAAGAAACAGGAGTCAAGAGATCAAAAGACATATGGCATTAGATAAATCTGCTGCACAAGACCTCTTTAGAGTGTTCAAGAGGTTTCTTTGAGGACCAAGGTGCATCTGACCCAGCCATGCACCTAAGCATTGCATCCTAAGCATGTGGAAGTTGGACACTGGAAAAGGAAGACCATGGAAGAATAGATGCATTGAAATGGTGGTGCTGGAGAAGAACATTGAAAGTATGAGGAAACACAGGTCTGTCTTGGAAGAAGTAAGGCCAGAGTGCTCCTTAGATGCAAGGATGGCAAGACTTCGTGTCACACACTTTGAACATATTGTCAGGAGAGACCAGTCCCAGGAGGAGGACATCATACTTGGTGGAGGGGCAGGGAAACAGAAGAAGGCTCTCAGTGATATGGATTGACAGCGTGGCTGCACCAATGGGCTCAGCGTAGGAGCAATTGTGAGGGTGGCAAGACTGTGCAGGGGTTCATTCTGTTGGGCATAAGGTTGCATTGGGTCACAGCTGACTCGATGCCACCTACCAACAGCAGCAACCTGGGCCACCATCCATCGGGCACCCTCAAGTCAAGAGATCAGAAGCAAAGGCCATCATCTGCCAGTTCTATGACCTTTGGCTAGCAACCATCTGCATCTTCTCACTAGGGAGGTTCAATGTTAAGTTCAAGGGCTACAGGTGAGTTTGTGGTAAAACCCAGTTCACTTCGTGGGGTTTCCACATTGAGTTCTCTGGTATGGCTTGTGAAGGATGTTGCATGCCTCCAAAGAAGAGAGTCTAAAGTCCCAGTAGTCTACAGCACATGGACTGGGCCACCAACGGCTACATAGATATTAGTTGAAAATATCCCATTAGCAACTCAGCACCAGTTATATTCTCCCTTTGCTTTATATATAAGTATTGTGCCGTGTTTTTTCCCCTTGGGAGGTTGCTCCTCCCCATTTGGTTATGGTTCTATAACTTCCTTCTCTGAGACATATATGCCCCCTACCTTCCTCTTGATTTGAATTTCTAGTAAGATTTCCTTATCACCCTTGGAGAAGTATCTGTTGGATTTGGGTGAGCCTAGCACAGTTTTATTTTTTAAAAATCATTTTATTGGGGGCTCATACAACTCTTACCACAATCCATCCATCCATCCATTGTGTCAAGCACATTGGTACATTTGTTGCCATCATCATTCTCAAAACATTT